CATCATGGATCTCCGAAGAATAACCGCTACCCTGCTGGCTCTGACGATAGTTACCCTGATTGTGGGCCTAGCGACACCGAACTGGGACTGCGTGAGTCTCTTTGAGGACTGCATCGAGGAGGGCGCCAATGAGAGGGTGGCGATGATCTCTGTGGCGGCTCTGCTGGTGATCGGTCTCGTCTGCCTGACCGTTGTCTTCATCCTCGACGTGCTATATCTCCGCTCCAAACAGCTCTCCGGTGTGGCCCAAGTTGCCCGCTTCTGCCTGCTGTATCTGGGTGCGGCGATGCTCCTGGTGGCAGTAATTGTCTACACAGCGCAGACACACAACCACTGGTCGTACTTCCTTGCAGTGGCGAGTGCTGCCTTCGGTCTAACGGTGGCCATCTTGGGTGTCATGGCTTCAAGATGCACCAGCTCCTCCCCACAGGCGTAATGCTGCGTATAATCGCCTTGCAGGTTGTTGTCTGCTTACCCCTCCGCTTTAACTTCCTTGAAAATTGGCATGCATTTCGTCCTCGATTAACCCCTGCTGACATACATCTTACTTGTCTTGCTTCATTGTGTCTAAATGCACATATATTCAAATTATGTCTAGTTTGATTTATAGTAAAAAGACCTTTACAGTCGTTGCCCTTGGCCATGACGGCGGAAAATAGAACGGCGGTGGGCGGTTTTCATAGAAGGTTGGTGAATACTGTTGATCGATTGCCCAAATCTTTATGTAGTATCTCATTGAGAAAGACTTTTAATGTGTGGAGGAATTTTCTAGGGTACTTATTTGCAAGTAATATGGGAGATTTTTGCAGAAGCGATGAAATCAAACCTAGGAAACGTTTCAGGCCGCTCACAGTCAGAGTTTTTCATGTCAACCAGACCACCGCAACTCTGGGAACTGTATGCTATTTCATTGTTTTCATACGGCCTTTCTAAAAACGTTATCGCACTAATACTGAATGGTTTATCGTACGGACAGTAAAGTCCTTGCTAAAAGTTCATGCATGTGCGTTTCACTGATCCTATGCCGCTGTATGACAGAGACGCGAGGGGCTCGCTTAATCAGTGGCTCTTCCAACGTTCCCAATGTCCTTTTAAGTATATAAATTCCAGGTTCACACAAAATGGCGGCAACATCAGAGGGGTCATGAAAGTTGCCTTTCGTACTTTTTCCAGCACTGTAACTGCACCTCAGAGGGCTGGGGGCAGATGATGGGATCTTTTGCGTGAACTGCAGGATCTGGCCTGGGTATGATGAAGCACCAACAGATGGCGGTACACAAAACCAAAATAACCGTTCCATCGTCTTCTCAACTTTTATCTAGTATGCTCTCTTTTCACGGTATCCCAGCAAAAGGTCATGCGGTGTCGTAGGGTTTTCGGACGATGTGTATTATTGAAGTGAACTTCGCCAACTGACCCATAACTATTTTAGAGCATGTGTTTTTATATGTATGGTCACACTCGGCAATATGAACACCCCAAGTAATACAGGTGGCCCTTGCACTAAGTTCCAGGGGGGAAGGGGTGCATTTTCCAATGTTCTAACTTTGGGTCTAACATTAACTCTAACCAGAACCCACCTAACCCTAGCATCTACAATTAACTGAACACCAATTCTAGCCTTTATTGTATACGCTTGGAAGTTAGCAAAAGCGTCCATATACCCATGCCTGACCGTACTTATTTATATAAGAAAGGTAACCACTGTTGAGAAAGAATTTAAAGAGATTTAATTTCTAAAGCTTCTGGAACTCATAAATTAAAAATGGCACTACAAAATAAGTGACCGTCGAGTACTTCCCCAAAATAGCTGAACAAAACCGAATGTTTTATTAAAACTAGCAAACTGTTTCCAAAAATAATAGTTTCTACTTAAATTGCAATATTATGTCAAACAGGAGTCTATACTATGTTCCGGTGCAGATGTGTACCTGAACCATGGAATTGTCCGTCAGTAAGCTTCCAAAAATAAAAACGGGGATGTCCGACCCCTAATAAGGCGCATATTAAATATGGCGTATTCAGCAACCAACCTTTGCCCAAAATGTTAGCATCGTTTCATGGTAGCTGCATTGAGGGTAGCAACAGACAATGTGCATTCATTTCGAGTAAATACCAACTACTGGAAGCCTGACGTAGGGATAGATGTTCAAATGTTCCCTCGTGCAAAATAAATGTACTTGATGACAGAAAAATGAAATAAAATGGTATAAAAATGAAAACATTTTGACAACAGAACCAGCTTCGCCTTTTGTGAAATGGGCCAGAGAAAAATGTAATGCATTTTTAAAACGAAATAAAACCTGTGTAAAAATGGGAGGCGTTCTTTGGAAAAATTAAGTTGTACTTGTGAATTTTCGAGCTGGTGACACTAGCCCGTTTTCAGGGAAACGTATAGGGAAGTGAGAAAGTAAGAAAATTTCACCAGGTAGTTTAAGCGACAGTACATCTAAACCACTGGCATGTGGGGGGGAGTCAAGGTTTGTTTGTGAATGGTGGGTCGGTTGATGTCAGGGTGGCTGGGTTAGCGGTCGTCGGCATGTGAATAGGAGGGGGGAAGGTGAGTCTTGATCTCCGGCTCCCGTATTGGTAGTTCAAGTCAAGATCGCGGTTAATGGTACCCGCAGTGGAATACCAAGCCTGGAGAAATTCTCGCGTTCGTTTTGTGTTGGCCATAGCGACGATTTCAGTGTCAACCCAATTAAATCTATGGTCGCACTCGATTGCATATGCGAAGACGAGGGACAGAGGGTCCCAGCGACGGACAGCTCATTTGTGTTCCTTGATACGGGTGCCCAAGAGTCGAGCTGTGTAACCAGCATACACGCAAGAGCAATCTGCGCACGGTATGCGATAAACGACATTTGACTGATGTTCCTTTGGAGTAGAATCCTTTCTATGTGGTAGCGCTGAGCGTACTGAGGATGCTGGTTTGTGTGCGATGTGGATATCGAAGCGACTTAACTGCCTGGCAATTACTTTGGAATTTTTCCGCATATAATGCAGGAAATAAAGTTCCCGTGTCGTAATATCTCTATTCGGGTTGGGGGCTTGCGATTGTGCTTGACGCCTGGGACAGTTCTTTACAAACCTGACCGGATATCCGTTAGATCGAAACAACCGACACAGATAAGCAACTTCTTTCTTGAGGAGATCTTCGCTGTTGCAATATCGATAAGCCCGATGGAACAGAGTTTTGACGCAGCTTCCTTTGGGAACAGCGGAATGGTTGCTACCATAATTTAGGATAATATCCGCATTGGATCCTTTCATATAGATGCTTGTGGCTAGCTTGCCATCGTTCACTTTTTGTATTTTAACATCAAGGAAAGGCAGCGTGTCTCCTACTGCGCCTTCACGAGTAAACTGTATGGCTGGGAAGACCTCATTCAATCTCTGGTATAGCACTTCGACATCGTTGTTCTTTGTTTTGACAAACCTATCGTCTACGTAAAGGAGCCACATTGTGGGCTTAGGGGTTTGAAAAACCTCTTCCTCCAATCGCTGCAATACTAGTTCTGCCAGTAGTCCTGAAATCGGTGGGCCAATTGGGGTTCCCTTTACCTGTTGGTAATACTTATTGTCGAATTGACAGTAGTTCCTATGGCAGAGATTGATCAGTTCTATAATGTACTGTGTTGGGATCTCGACAGGATTGCCCTATAACCGCTGGGTTATGCAAGCAATTGCCAAGTCGTGGTGGTATGGACGAAAACAAGGCAACTACGTCAAAAGATAGGATACATTCATCGTTACTTACTCTGTGGTTTTGAATCCTGCGAAGAAATGCCTGCGAGTTATTGATGCTGTGCTCTGATCCATGAGTTAGGTCTTTCAAATTCCTGTACAGCCACTTAGCAATATTGTAAGTGGGTCAGATCAGGTCAGGTTTTATTGAGGGAAATGTTGGTAAATACCATGGAACTCCCTATTGGTACAGAACAGTTATGCAATGCATTTGTTCAGCAGAACATTTCAGATCAGTGGCGTTGCCAGTAATTGGAATTGGGTAAGGGAGGGCCGACAGTGAAAAATCTTCTTAGGCATTTTTTTAGAAAATCTAGGGGTTTGAACGTCATTTGAGGGATTTAAGGAGAAAAACTGTCGCCCGTGGAGGTGGGGGTTGGGGGGAGAGTATATTCGAATCGGATGGCCTGTGCTAAGAGTGTTCGAAGCATGTCAGGAGGAGCCCATCGCGGTTTTTGTCATAATCCTAAGGGTCCCACGTGGAGGAGATTGCAGAGGTCACGCGAACGTCACCGAATGTCGGAGATGCGCCCCTTGCTGGTTACCGAGTCTGCCGACTAATTGACGAAACAGAGGTAGTCGGTAGTTTTCTAAACAAAAATATTGTGATTATTCCGCAATGTCCTTTCGGTAACCGGCAGTTTATTTTCGGGGACGTAGTAGCTATAGGTCTAACTTAATCTTAAACGTCTCCACAGATGGGTCTGACTTAATCGTAAACCTGTCCACAGATGGCGACATGGCAATGTCCGCAGGCAGAGCATTCCATGCCTGAATTGGGAAGAGGTTTACAGAGCTGCGTAGCCTAGGACCACAAGGTTCGGTGGATGCGACTTTTGCCATTCTTAGTTATTATGAACAAACATGTTACTGAAAAGTGATTAATAGTATGTTTTTTATAACATTTAACTCTCACCAGTGCTAACTTCAGAGAACATTGTGGCTAAGCAGTCTAGCTTTCTCTTGAATGTGTCCACAGATGGGGACATAACAACATCCTCAGTGAGAGCATTCTAAGCTTCAACTACTCTATTACCAAAGAAGTACTTG